CTCTCTCTCTCTCTCTCTCTCTCTCTCCCTCTCATATTTAAATGCCCATAACATATGGAAAAAAGGCCCTTAGCATTTTTTGGAGCCCAAACCGAGGACTAAAAATTTAACTTAGGTCCCGTTTGATAGTTGCTGACTGAGAAATTGTTGACTGAGAAATTTCTGTCTGGGTAAAAAATCCTGACTAAGTAAGAAACCATGGTATTTGATTGTACATCTAACTGAATGTGCTGACTGATGGAAAATAATCATTTTACCTTTCACAAGCAATTTAAAAAGAAAACCCGTTCTCGCAAAGGATAATTAAAGATAGAATTTTGGGGAGATTGAAGCTAAAAAGCTTATTTTAATATCTTTTACGGACACTTTTAAAAAATTAAATGAAATCCTAAACTACCTAAAGACGTCATGATCATCAACGTTCAAATAGAAAACACAAGTAAAGAACATAGTGACGTTTCGCGTCTTGGAATAAAAATCCCCACCCTGCAAAACAAACACCAACAATTAATTCACTTGTAGACATTATATTCAAAACTCATTGCAGCTCTGAATACATCGTTTGTCATCGGAAGTGAGCAATAAATGGATATGTTTATGTGACACTGTTCAACAATCATCCTTTTGTCAATTGGTAATTCATGAAGCTTCTATTCGCCACTTCAGTTTGAAAACAAATCTATAACTAATAGCAAAACTCAGTGATTCTATACAGGTCCATGCTGATACATATGCCAACTCTACATTATTAAAGGAACATTGGTTATACAGGTCCATGTCGATTTGAGTTGATAAAATCAAAATGAACAACAAACATGAAATCTTTGATCCCAATTCACAAATTGAGCACAACAAAAAACATCAACATAACAGTAGCACTACAAGAAAAATACCCTTTTACGACGCGCAAACCACGACACTCATTGATTTATGTTACGCAAAAGAGAGTGACATTACAAAAGTGTCATCTCTTAAAAAAAATTAAGGATTTAGGTCACGCATTATTGCGTGCCCTTAAATTAGTGTCTCATGTAAAAAAATTAAAAACACGGAGGGCACTTTATCTAAAATGTGCGTCCTCTATGAATGTCGTTTTATATTTTTTTTAAGAAACGCGCGTCTCCTTAGAGGGAAATTAAAATCCCCAAAATTTTAAAACCCCGCCTTCCAAATCGATCCTCACACTAAATGGTTTGGCGACTGTAACTCCTTTCGATTGTAACCCCGATCGACAACTATGACTCATCAACCGTCAATCGAAGCTACCAGTTGAACAACCCCTAATCGACACCTCCACCTTCTCGTCTCTCCTTCTCCACCAGGTTTTCTCTCATCTCTATCCTCCACCATATGAAGATTTACGAAGATATGAAGGGGGTAACCGAAGGAAACCCTAAATCCCTCTCGCAGTCAACCACTACAACCCTAAATCTCTCTTCTTTACAGTAGAAAATCTTTTTGATGGATTGTCCAGATTCTACGTCCTGGCATGTTCGATGCAAGTGCTTTCCAAGTTCTTGGTTTCCTTCCTGAGTCATTGATACTTCTCGGTATGTTCCTGTTGGATTAGGTGTTTAAGCCCATAACTATAATTGGTATGTACTTGACCCGAGAGTAGCCTGGTCCATTTGGATTGCCTTCACCAGAGCAATTTGATAGGATGGACTTTTGAGAAGAGGTTATTTATGATTTATTAATATATTATAAGTTTTAATATGTTAATATGAAATCATATTATTTAATTAGTATTGATCAAGAATTAATTTGGAATTAATTTAGAGATCAAAAGAGACTAATTAAATTAATGGGGACTAATTGTGTAAATTAGTTATATATGGTTTGGGCTTGTGATACATGATGGACTAAGTTTATGAAAGTATCCATAAAGAGTTAGTCCATATGGATCATGGATCATGGATCATGGAGAATAAGCCCAAGGGTATGGATTAGGGTTTAACCATGACTCTTAGAATCCTATATTATATATATGACACCCCATAGCTAAAATCGGTTGTCACAAGTGTTCTAAGAGTTCATAAGTGCCGATTTTGAAGCATAAGAAACCTCTCTCTCAAGTCCTTGTTTGTTCATGGTGTTTGTGAACCATTTGAGGCATCACACTTGAGGTGTTAAGTTCTTAAAGGCCAAAACACAACAAGCTACAACAAGAGGTAATTCTATACCTCATTTTTATGTTGTTTATGTCAATTTTATGCTAGTTGTAGGCTTAATGCTTTGGAAACAATATTGCATGTATAATGAGAGAAAACATAGATCCAAAACATTTAGGTTGTATGTGCACCACAGGATGTTGTAGTATACAAAACCCAACAGTGGTATCAGAGACTAAGATTGTTTTCTGTTATATTTGATGAATGGCTTATTTTTTCTAAAGCTGAAAAACTGTTCTTACAGCACCTACTCGACGAGTACATGCTTAGACTCGACGAGTAGGATGAATTTTTCCTTGAACTCGACAAGTCCATAGTTGGGCTCGACGAGTTGTATGATCAAACTGCATTTTTTCGGGTTTTTTTGGCCAGAATTGGATTAGGATCACTACCACAAACTGTTTTATATCATAAAATTTGTTTTTTCTGATATGGTAGTGATTATCCTTGTCTAATTAAAAGATAATTGTCAAAATTTCAAGATTTGTATTAGTTTATATGATAGGCTAATTTCTTGTAAATTGTTGATATGAATTGTCTTGACTTATGAGTTTAACTAAATCATAGATAAATTACATGATAGTTTTTTATTTGTTAAAATATTGATTCTTTAAAGTCTTCGATAACTTTTCCTTGAGTTATGGAACATGAAAAGTTTTTTAATAAAAACCACATTAACTCATAAGTTATGGAAAACCAAAAGGTTTTAAAGAGTTACAAAACTTGTCCTCAAGTTTTGGTATTTGAAAAGTCTCAAATTAAAAAACTCTTGTAATTAAAAAGGTGCAACTCTTGGGTTCATAAATTAAAAAATTAATTAAATAGTTTCTAATTTTGAATTTTTTATATTTAGAACCTTGAAGTATTTGAATAGTTCAAATTGCACCTTATGGACTTTATTAAATTAATTAATGTGTTTAATTAAAAGAGAATTAATAATTCCATAATGACACGATTTAAGTTTAATTAAATTAAGAGCAGAATTTATTATTAGATTAAACCATCTAGTATTTTAAAAGTATAAAATACACCCTTATACTATATAAAATTATAAGTTTAATAATTATATATATGTGTATAAGACAAGTCAGTCTTACCGTTAGTAGGCCTCATTCACGAAGCCGATCTATAAGGGGGTATAAGGTTACTGCCTATAAAGTGGTGGTTTAATGGGTGTCCACTCTCACCCACCGCTTCCTTGACTGGTGGAGGTTCGTTAGCCGAACGGGTAGGATAGGACACTAATTCTTATTAAAAGTATAATGAAATACCAAGTAACTAAATACTCTTATAAATTCACAATCTTAGTTACTTAGGAAAAATGTGAATTTGGTGCTAACCCATGAAATTGCACATTGCACTTTATTAGTCGTTAGTGGAGCGTGTGTGGTTAACCGCCACACTAATATGGGACTAATGAATGATGGAAATGGGTAGTTTGATGTTAATCATAGATCAATGGAGCGTGTGTGGTTAACCGGCACATTGATTAGGTGATATGTAACATTAAGTGTACCAAGCTAATTTGCATGGTTATTCACCCATTGTATGTGATCCTCGGCATCCTAGTCACAAACATGAAGGACATAATCGAGATTAAACATGTCATTGAAAAGTTCAATGAATCTCAAAGAATCTAGGAATTTCAATTCATTTAAAACTTAATAATAAATTTCGTTTTTCATGGTGGAAATTGGTAAATCTTCATTTACCTACCTTCAAATATTTTGCAATTGGATTACAGCATCCATCTTCCGAATTGTAAAATATTGTGTTGGGTCCTAGCCTTAATATTTCATTTGGGTGTTATATTAAGGACTTAAATCAACTAACTTGAATTTCTCCCGTTATAGATGTCTAGGTCAGACAACTATGGTCTTCCCGAATCTTCTATTTATAAAGTTGATATTCCACAAGACGATCAAGGTGAATGATTAATCTCTTCTTCATGCTGTAGTGGTACTTCACTTCCTCCACCTCCTCCAACAGTTCTCCCTAACCCATAAGTTCACAGACTTGAAAAGTTCAAGGTCACTCGAGCCCTATGGCTAGCAAACACCAAGATGAAAGGTCTGTGTGTGCACATGTCTTGGAGATGAAGTCACACATTGATAGGCTGGGAATGTTGGGTGTCGTTGTATCAAGGAAGTTGGCTGTTGACTTGGTTCTTCAATCACTTCCTAAGTCATATAGCAGGTTCTTTAAGGACTACTATATGGAAGATCACGACATGACCCTTGTTAATCTAACATATTTGCTTGTTGTTGCTGAATCAGCAATGATTTGGCGCACTGGTAATGCAAATTTGATTAGAAGATCTATTTCCCAAACTTCCATGGACATTGATAATGGTAACATTGGAAGTCCAGAAAAACTTTCTCTTCCCGATGGAAAGGGATCGGCCATGGTCAAGTCATTTGACCAAATGGTAAAGAGAAAGGCTAAGTCTGAGATAGTCCCATGTACCATTCCCAAAGAGTCCATATGTTTCTGTTGCCAAAAGAAGGGGCATTGGTTGCGAAGCTGCCATATTTACCTGAAAGATCGCAAGGATGGTAAAGTCAAAAAGTTTGACTCTACTTCAGGTAAGTCCACTATCTAACTCTACTTAGTTCCTGTTTGGAGATTCTTAATACATGA